GTTTGAAACAAATGTTTTTCAGAGTTTGATAAATTCCTTGAGGAACGAGCAAAGGCAGCAGATTCTATGCCATCTCCCACAAGAGCTCACCCTGCTCCCAGTGGATCACATAAGAAGGCGGAGCACACAGAAGATGCCCTCTTTGCCTTATAAAATCCTAATCTCCCTATGGTGTCCAAAGGTTTTTGCTCTTAATAATTTCACTGGTTCCATTTAATTAATGACTAGCAGTAATCTATCAAATCATATCAATGTCTGCAGTATGTACACTTTGTCATAGCTTGTTTAATACATGTGGATGTATTATTTTACTGTAATGGCATTTGAAACTAATTGCCAAAGAAACCATTCTATTAATAGTTTGGCACTAAAGTGAGTTACTGCCTAAACTGTAAAGTGGCCATGAAGTGAAAGTATGCGAACACTATTGCATGTGTGATGGACTGTGGTGTTTCACCATATACATCTCATGTATTTTGGTTATTAGTTAAACTTTGCAAATATTAATATTTTATAAATATTTAACTTAACAAGTTTATGCTTAAGGTAGCCTATGGGTTTGTATCAAATTACAAGATGTTTTATATTACTAACGTTGGCAAATTAATTTTGCTAACTGGGATGTTATACTGTGTATTTCAATATTCCTTTTGTTGAAGGGATAAACCGAGGTTTGTGGAAAAGGGACACTGAACATTTCTTACTGAAATGCTTCTGATCGTGTTTAAAATGGATTGCTCCAAAGAAACTTAAAGCTTTAGAGACAATTAATGACAGGTTCCTTCTCCATGTTAGAAACATCATTGCACTTGAAGGGATAACACATTCATATTTTGTAACTGGTTAAAATTTTTGTTAACATATGGAAACTAGAATGGACATTGACTAGCTTAATTTTGCACTTTTTTTTTTTTTTTTTTTTTTTTTGTAATTGTTGCATTATTGTAAATGTTGATTGTATTTAAGGACTTAAGCCTATCCATGCAGTGTATTGGTCCATACTCTATGCAGATTCTTTTTGTATCACCCCCCACATAATGCATTTATCGCAAAGGTTACAACATATCATTTCATTCTCAAACATATCATTGATGTATTGTTTATTACATATGTTTTTATAATTTTGTGCACACATTACAATTTAAAAGAGACAGGAAAGAAGCACAATTCGGTATTTGTTTTTGCACAGCCATTTTCTTTTGAGCAATTAGATTTCATTTGTGATTTATAGCAGTGCAGTATATGATTGAAGTCTTGACAAATCACTGTTATTTAAAATGACTTAAGTTGATATTGTGTACATTCACGTCATTTCCAGTTAGTATTCTATTTTAGTGTATGCATTTTACATTTAGCTCATGCAGTTTAAAGCTTGTTATGGAAATAACCGCAGTGATACAAGAAGATGGTGTTCCCATGAGTGCTTCTTGGTCAAGTTTAAAGGTCCATGCAAACATTGTTTTTTATGTGTCAATGTAACAATGTTGCTGCTGAATGTTTAAATTTAATTGACCAGTATACGTGCTGACATCTGGTAATCTGAGCTCTCTGACTCAGCATACACGTGTCACTAATAAAACACTAGCGTCTTAAATCCACTGCATGTGTTATTTTGTGTTGTACAAATGGACTTTCTCCTGGATCATGCAACCTCTCCTAAAGTTACAGTTTCGTGACTCATTTTAAAATTGGTGTGTCATATTGAAGTGCAATAATCCTTCAATCACTCTCACTTATATATAGCCTTTGCAAAAATTTTTTTGACCCTTTTGATGTGCCAACAACATGTCAGAAATAGCAAACGAAAAATTCAATTCAATCAAATGGACAAAAGTTTTAGAGTAAAGTGTCGTTGCTTATCCACGCGGTTCTCAGAACTGAAGAAGCCACTTAATGAACGATGAAACGTCTTCACTTTATTTTCTTATGGAGCACACCTGGATGAGTGAGGATTAGATTTAGACTTAGACAAACTTTATTGATCCACAAGGGAAATGAGTTATGTGTAAATCTCTGACCTACTATATCCTCACTTTTACTTGTGATAAATAGGCCTTCTTTGCTATGGCATTGTTTATTCACTAGTCATAAAATAATCTTTGAACTAAAAAAATACTGCCAATAAACTGTAGCACCACCAGTTTGTTTAATTTTTGCGTGATGGATATTTATTGGTGTTGCTGCTTCCTCAAAGTGACGTGATGGGCATGCAACAGCTTTGAGAGAGGGAGAGAAAGAGAAACACATGATGTAATCAGCATCGCCTATGGGTGACGTGTGATCACCCCACTCGGTTTTGGAGCTCCTGATTGGACGATATTGCTGGTTCTACAGGAGCACGAGTCAAACAAGCTTGACTCTCAGTAACCACGCCTGACTCCTTCCTACTGGTCCTTTGAGGCAGGCCCACAATAAGCAGATGCATGCCGTTCATCAAACAGTTTGTCCAAAATTAAATAAACAGCCTAGTCATTAAAGCATTTATTTTATTACACATGACATGTAAAAGAAGCCCTTAAATATTTATTTTATATTATTTTTAACTGTTAATGTTTGCAAATCGATGCCAGTGAAATTAAATAGTAATCACACGTAATAAAATACCAAAGTACTGTCTGTATTTTTAGATTTTCTTATTTGTAGATTTGTGTTAGTGTTAATATGCGCTAAATTTCACGGATAGCCCAAGAGGCGTTTGTTTATTTAGAGAGAATAATTAAATAAAGAAATGGGGACTGCACAGTGATTGGCTGCTGGTCCTGTCACTCATTTGTGGTGGGCGGGTTGTTTGTCTGCCGCTGTTAGCACGTTTGTCCTGAATGAGTTCTGTGTTTAGCCTGGGTCGTAGCTTGGCTTGACAAGTTTACACCTACATATGGACCACGCTGACAGATTTAAGTATTGAATGCATGGATCTCATTTATCGTTTTGGGATTTAACCTTTTGACTAATGTAGGGGAGTGAGAAGTTTGCGTTTTCACGTGATTTCGTGTCTGTTCAGTCTTCATAGAAAAGCCAGACAGACAGAGGAGTAAAGATGAACTCTCTTTCTTTTGACGATCCAACTCTGGATAACTTGGATCCAACGATTTCACTCAATTCGCTACATGACCCCAGCGACATTGACACGGCCCTTTTAAGCGATATCGATGGTAAGAAATTGTAATTGTTGTTTACATGCTACATCCACCCCTGTCATATTTAGCTTGTGTTACTGGCTAAAAGTCCTGCACACCTAACTTCTAATAACATAATAGGGTATTGATCATTTTAGTGTTGCACCAGTAGCGCTCAATTGTTTTAGCAGTATTGTGAAATATAATGGCTTGTTAAGCCAATTAGCCAACCTCGTGCTGAATCGATATAACGTTAGATTTAGCTTACTTTTTAACTTTTCGTCTTAGTTGAATCGACATCCTTACACAAAATATAGTGCAAATCATATATTTCTGCCTTCTACTATAGTATTTTTATGTTTTAGAGCATAAAGTTTTCAAATAACAGGGGTACATTAGCAGGTGATGCTAGCTTAATAAATATTGCTAGCGCCCCGCCTCTCATGACTGAGGTTATTACAGTTCATTCACTTTTTCTGGGTTCATCTTCATACGATTGACCTATTCCCCCAAAATGATACACACTTACTACTACTGCATTAGTCATGGCAATGCTTTAGTATTTTCTTACAGTCTTCTAAAACATAAAGCAAAAAAAATAGTAAAATAGACTATAGTGTGGTTGCAGCTAAGCAAGTATGCACTTTATTTACTTTGCATCGATCATAGCAAATACAGATTACACGCGCACACAACACTACCACATTATTGCAGGTTTATCAACATTTCAGCCTTTAGTCTACTGCTTGTAATGTGTAACTCGAGCTTGTTTCAGTTCAACCAAATTTAGCCTCGCAGAGGGATATGTAGTGTTGGACGTATGTTTATGGGGCACTCGGTTTACATTGCATGTGTTTGACCGAAAGTAACCCTCGGTGATGTTGCACGAAGGTAACCTCGTTCTCAGACTCTCCCTCTCTTTTCCCGTCTTGGCCAAGCGGCATAGCGAGGCTCCCAGACGCGCTCTGATTGGTCGAGAGCGATCACCTCATACAAAGGCCTAATCCACAAACGCAGTGCTACACATCAATGCAGAAAGAAACTAAACATGTGCTTATTTTCACCACATAAAATCCACTCTATATTGTGCCATTATTACAACCTAAACCTGAATTTACAAAGAAATTATTTTTGTTTTCTATCACACTGCAGTCTTGCGAGTGGAGTCCATACTATAATCCCAGACTATATGATCAGAGCTTGTGTTGAAAGGCTTGTACTTACTGTAAACCATAAGTAAATCAAATATACTATTATACTTTTTTGTTTCTTATGCAGATATGCTAAAGCTTATCAACAACCAGGATATGGAGTTTGATGGACTCTTTGACAACCAACCATACACAGGAGCTCCATCGACCCATGATCTCCCTGGTCTTACCCAACCCATCACCTCAGCTGCTTCACTGACCACTTCAGCTGTCCCGACAACTTCCCAATCCTCCATCCTTAGCAGTAGTCCACATTTGGATGCTCTGCTGGGGCCCCCCATCACTCGTAGTTCCTCTACACCAGATAAGACCTTCCAGCCTGCCACCTTCCAACAATCCCCTCTGGCCCAGGTCTCCAGCAGCACTGGCACAAGACAGCAGCAGCCGACCACTCCACCACAGCCGCAGAATGCCAGGCAGGCCAAGGCAGAGCAGCCCCTGCCAGCCCTTAGTCCAGCCCTCCCTGTGCAAGTGGCTTCACCACCTCAAGGTGTACCACAGAAGAGTGCAGCTCTGAACGCTTCCCCTCCACCTCCGGCCCTGTTCTCCCCCACTGCTCCTCAAACACAAGTTCAGTCTCAGCAGACTCATCCTGTCAGCTACACAGGTAAAATAAGTGTTATGGAAAGTAAAACACTAAATCAACTAGAACTACTAATAGAACATAGACCTCGGGTTACCAGAGTCTGCTATATATCTATTATCTACGACATCCACAGATCGTTATGTTATAATTTGCTAATTTTAAATTGAAATATTCACCTTAAACAACTTAATAAAAGAAACAAGCCATGTTAGAAAACTGTGGTGCCCAATGGGTGCAGACATGGCCGTAAATGACAACAAAGAGCTGTGAAGTAGTTGCCAATTTTTGCATAATAAGTCTACTTTAAACATGTGTCAAGTAAATTTAGAATCTTTAGCCTCCAACTATTCCACCTTTGGGGTATTCACCCTTCCCTTTTTCTGAATATATGCTTCTGTTGACAGACTGTGTAGACAGAACAGCACAGGTCAAACCACTCGTTTGCTTTATGTACACATAGCTGAAAGTCTATTATAAATATTTTGTAAAAGCAAGTCTCTGTCTAAGCACTGTGCATTTCAACATAATTCTGAAGGGAGCTCATGGGAGTATTTTATAACTTTTTTATTGGATGTTGAGTAAAGCCCTTTATGTTATCTTGTGCACAAGGTAACCAGTTCAGACAGATAAGAATTGTAAACGGTGGCATACTGACTGGAACTATGACTTTATTAGTCCTAGTGAGATAATTTCCCTTTGCCCTACTAACCTGCTGTTAATGATCTTGCAACAACCCCCCGGACATGTATTGTGTTTTTTTTGGCATACTTAGACATAATAAGGCACATGAAAATATTTTAATTGTTTTTTTTACTTTACAGCATCTAGTCCTGGGAGTGCAAGTCCTTCGGCCGCGATTTTGTCTTCATCACCTCCAATAGCAATTCAACCTCAAATTCAAGGAATAGCCACCACGTCTCCCATTTTGACCACCTCAGGAAGCCCACCTGTACAAACCATCACACCCCATGTACAGCAAGTACCTGTAAGGAATAGTCTGCCACATGTGCTTTTAATAGTTGTAAAACCAAGAGACTCCTCTGACAGTGTATCTTTTTTTTACAGGTGCTACTGCAGCCTCAGTTCATTAAAGCAGAATCCTTGCTTCTGACCACTCTGAAGCATGACCCTTGTATGGTCACTACTGTAGCATCACCTACATCTTTGGCCACAACAACTTCAGTGCAGACTACTCCTATTCAAGTAAACCTGTTTTTTACTGCTTAAGATAATTTGTAACCTGCTTTTTGAGTTAACATGCTATATTGCTTGCTCTAAGGCTTTTGTGGGTGGAGGCACCTTTTTGACTACAGTTCCTGTTATGGTGGATACGGAGAAACTGCCAATAAACCGGATAGCTATCAGTGGCAAACCAAATGGGCAACCTCACAAGGGAGAAAAACGCACTGCTCATAATGCCATTGAGAAGCGGTACCGGTCATCGATCAATGACAAAATTATTGAGCTTAAAGATTTGGTTGCCGGTACTGAGGCCAAGGTAGGAGGATCTTTTAATGCTTGTCTATTGAACCACACACCTGGAGTCTATTAATAATGATATACATTTTTGTCGCTTTTAGCTTAATAAATCTGCAGTGTTGAGAAAAGCTATTGACTACATCAGATACTTGCAGCAGGCTAATCAGAAACTCAAGCAGGAAAACATGGCTCTAAAAATGTCAGCCCAGAAAAACAGTGAGTACCTCATATTATCTCCAACACAGTTCATATTGGTTGTGTTAAATACTAGATACTAATGTCTCACAATTTATACCCCATTACCTACCACTAACAAATCTCATGACAAAATAGCTGCTAAAGTGTTTAACACTTGCTGTAAATGTAATTGTGCTTTTACTCAGAATCTCTCAAAGACATCGTTGCTATGGAGGTTGATGGACATGCTGATGTGAAAACGGAGCTACCCACTCCTCCAGCTTCTGATGTGGGATCCCCCTCCTCTTTCTCACACTGTGCCAGTGACTCGGAGCCTGACAGCCCAATGGGCGAAGACACAAAGGTATGTAGATATACAAAATCATACGTGTTCACATTGAACAGTCTTCAGTCTAAAGTATTTGTGAATTGAACATTCTTCTTGTCTTGTTTCAGCCAAATGTGGGTACGCTGGGTCAGTCTGCAGGTGGAGGTGTTGGTGGCATGTTGGACCGCTCCCGTATGGCCCTGTGTGCGTTCACCTTCCTCTTTGTCTCCATGAATCCTTTGGCTTCCCTTTTCTGCACCGGTACATCTGCCAGTACTGGCACGAGCAGCAGCCCTCACACAGGAGGCAGGGGCATTCTGGGCTTAGACAGTACAGGTAAATGAAGTGTCATTGACTTCCTACCAACACATATGGTGTAAAATATAACTTAGGCAACCTTTTCTAATTTACACTCATGACACATTTTGGTCAATAATATTGAATGTCTACAGTGGACTCTTTGGGCTGGATGGACTGGATGTTGCCCACTCTGCTGGTGTGGTTGCTGAATGGCATTTTGGTGTCAGGGGTTCTGATCCGACTCTTAGTCTATGGAGAACCTGTAACCAGACCACATTCTGGGTCATCTGTCTTATTCTGGAGGCACCGCAAACAGGCAGATCTGGACCTAGCAAGAGTATGTTATTTAATAAATTAAATTATTGTTTTAAACCCGAAATTACATTATAACTATGTCTACATTTTCTGTTTAACAATGACAGTTCTAAATCTAACGGATCAAATCTGCTATTGTCCATCTTCAGGGGGATTTTGCTCAGGCCAGTCAAAACTTGTGGACCTGTCTTAAAGCTCTTGGTCGGCCTTTGCCCACCTCTCAGTTGGATTTGGCTTGTGCTGCCTTGTGGTCACTGTTGCGTTTTTGCCTCCAACGCCTTTGGGTGGGCCGTTGGCTGGCAGCTAGAGCTGGAGGGCTGCGGTCTGACCGCCCCCTGCAGGAGGATGCTTGCAAAAGCAGCCGTGATGCTGCACTGGTCTATCACCGCCTGCACCAGCTTCACATGACGGGTAAGTGGAAAGGAAAAACAAATTGCTCTTTATATTCCTTCTAAATATAAGGGTGTACTGCTCCAAATCACAGAATTACCAGATCATTTTCCACACTGTACTTTATTTAGTGCGATATTCCTCTGCATTACTGCTTTAAGGAGACTAATCAGAGTGTGGAAATGTTGTGACAGGTTTTTAGTGCCATTGTTCTTGTCATGTTCCAAAGAAGATTCAAAACAGATTCAAAGCAGTGCATCAGTCAAATAACTGATTTTAGACAAAGGAGATATTGACCTATTTGATAAATTGTAACTATTGACATTGTTGTGAGACTAGATTTTGTCATATCATGATTATTGTTATATCCCTTAATCAAATTATTTTCTTGTTAGGTAAACTAAATGGCAGTCATCTCTCAGCTATCCACATGGCTTTGAGTGCAGTGAATCTTTCAGAGTGTGCTGGCTCATGCCTTCCAGTTGCCACACTGGCTGAGGTCTATGTATCTGCTGCTCTACGGGTCAAAGCCAGCCTGCCAAGGATACTACATTTTACTTCAGTAAGTATTTCAGTGCATTTATTTTTACACAAAATCCATATAGTATATAGTATAAAATGTCTGAAGGACCAAACTTTTGTTTTCTTTGTAGCGTGTGTTCCTGAGCAGTGCTCGTCAGGCTTGTCTATCGTCCAGCGGCAGTGTGCCCCCGGCTATGCAGTGGTTATGTCACCCACTTGGTCACCGCTTCTTTGTGGATGGTGATTGGGCCATTCGCAGCACTCCTAAAGAAAGCATTTATAGCCAAGCTGGCAATACAGGTCAGTAGATCAGATACTTTTTACTTCTAATGCTGTTCATGATTTAACTCATGCAGCCTCTTATGTTTCTTTACAGTGGATCCTTTAGCTCAGGTGACACAGGCCTTTAGGGAGCATCTCCTTGAAAAGTCCCTCTATTGTGTAGCTCAGCCTCGAGGAGAGAAAGGGCCAAGCCATGGAGAGGGGTATGAATCCAATATAACCTATGTATTTCCCTTTGCCTGTATCTAATATTTCAGATAATATGCTTCTTAATCTTAACATGAACAATTCAATAACACATTTTATTATGTGGTCAGTCATAAATATTTATGAACATGCTGTATTTCTTTTTCAGGGAGTATGCTGATGCCCTGGAATACCTGCAGCTGTTGATGAGTGCATCAGACGCGGCTGGTGCCACTACACAATCCTTTGCTATTGGATCCAACATGGCTACTGTAACAGGTAAATTAATAAAAAATAATAGTTGTGTTGGGTGTCATGCAGTTAATAAGCCCAAGCACCAGAAGCTGGCAAAGGGCCTCTAAGTATTGCAAAGCGACGTGAGGCTAAGAGTAGCCCGTAAGTGCATTGACGGGATGTGACATATCCGTAGTGACCAGGGGCCCTCGCCATGACGTAGGAATATTGTTACCGTATCAGAAACTTTTTCTCCTAACTTTTCCTCCAAAAATCAATAAACTGGAACATGAACACCCCCACACAAGAAAAAACTGCATTAGGGTATAGGAACGAAAAAATGCACATAGAATCATAAAAATTGACACAGAAGTAGATCATGAAAAGAGTGAAAAATATTACTCCAACGCTATCTGCCCCACCAGGGGTCAGCCATATTGTATTAAACTTTACAAAGCATTTTCTGTAAATGTTGTACTTTTACACACTCCTCCTAGGGTGTTCCAGGCTGGTGCCACCTAGTGCCTCCGCTCAATTTCATTTCTCTCCAGCAACTAGGTCAGGAATCAAAATACAATCGGCAGTTAGCAAAAACCCCGGAAGTGCAAGTTTGGGCACCAGCCAATCAGTGAAGAGTGATGTATTCAGTATTGTCAACGATTACTGAGATCGAGGATTTAATGCCGGAATAAAGAGAATGTTTGGTGAATTTCATCAAGGGGAAAAACGTTATTGCCCTTCTTCCTACGGGATTTGGGAAAAGCTTAATATACCAGTTAGCCCCTTTAGGGGCGCATTACATACATCACAACCAAATAGCAGCGATTGGTTAAATGACAAAAAGTATCTGCCTACCGTCGAGGGAACGAAATCTAAGGCTGTGAGGTCAGACAGTTTGTACGAAGTGAAACAAAGTAAAACCGGTTGATGAATCAGGCTAAGGGCGTTCACCTGAATGTGCTCAAATTTAGTACACATTATCTGCACAAAATGTATTAATCTTGCATCTATACAAATTGCTCCTATTTACGCATATGAACGCTGCTTTCAGTGAAAATTTATCAGTTGTTAAATGCCCTGCTTTAAAGCTATTTAATGTGAAAGAATTGAAATTGGTGCATCAGTGCCCCCTACAGATTGAGATAAAATTTTATATGGGGACAACATTTTTTTTTCCATACATTTCTGAAACAATATTCCATTTTGGCATCTGAAGCATTGTGGGGTGCGGTGTTTGCAGGGCATGGTATTTGTTGCCTGTGAAGGTGGATTATTTGATATTTATTTATTTTCTTTTAGTCTTTCATTGATATACTTATCTTTGCTATGTAGACCAGATAGATGCACATCAATTTCTATTTGTGTTCTTGTATTGCCTTCCAAATGAACATAGGCTTTCATTACCATGTCATTATAATTGCATGTGATTGCCATAAAGCATCATTGAGTATAATTACTTTATTCTTTTTTATTCTTCATTTTGTGACTTTGTTCCCCAACACAGGATGTGATCCTCATTCAAAATGGTGGTCCTCAATTGCTGTGGTGATCATCAACTGGTTACAGGGAGATGACTCTGCTGCAGAGCGACTGTATCCAACAGTTGAGCACCTGCCTCGCAGTCTCCAGAACGCAGAGTGAGTCATCAAGTTATTATAATAATGCAAAATATACATGAACTTTTTAGAGCTACATATTGATCAGTATTTGTTCCGCTTATCTTTGTAAGCAGAAGTCTGCTACCCAAAGCATGTCTAAATACCTTCAAAGCGGTGCGTGCACTCCTGTCCAAACCTGAAAACTGTCAGCTGAGTTTAAGCTACAGTGACAAGGCCAGTGCCCTGCTCAGAGACAACCTCAACCTGGGACCACACAGCCACAGTTCCAGTATAGACAAGGTACCCTCATCACTCTCACAAAGGCTGCAAGCCATGTTAATCAGTCATTGTTTTTATTATATACACTGGTTTGAAATGCTATTCTGTAACTATAAAGCAATAAAACAATACTACAAGGTGTGTGAAACTGACAACACAGAATATGGATGGGCAGATTGTGGCTCCCTCCTGGGCCACTGCGACGTGTGATCGGGCTGTGTCCCTGCCTCTGGCGTTCAGCAGATGGCGATGCTGCTGGATGGGCACCTCGTGGGGTGCATGTGCACGGCCGGAGCTGTGGTGCATTGTAGTTGCATTGCATCTGTGTCTCAGTGGAGTGCAATGCACCCGCAGTGCAACACAGAGCTGAGCCACAAACAGCAGCCACAAATTTGGGAGGAGTACCTTTGAGACAGTACAGTCTTTTAAGTACATTAATATTATTTTAACATTTACTGTTTGTGTGTCCTCTTCAGGTTGTCCAGCTATTGCTCTGTGATCTGCTATTGGTGATGCGAACCAATGTTTGGCAGCTGCAGCAGCAACAGCAGCAGCAAGGGGTGCCTACTGTAGGACCCACAAATGTAGGTCCCAGCTGTCCAACAGGGGGCGTGCAGCAGGCCTCACATCCTGAGCTCCAAGGCTTTCAACAAGACCTCAGTTCTCTGCGGAAGTTGGCTCACAGTTTCAGACCTGCCATGCGAAGAGTATGTGTATTTTATTAATATACAAAGATATGTGTATGCTGTGTGTAGAACTAAACATTTTTAGAGTTTGTGCCCAGTGCTGTCAAAGGAGTAATTGAACAGCATAGAACTATAAGTTAGTTATGCATAGTCTATAAATTCCCTGTGACTATTAATATTCTGCCAAATGAAGGCAGGTAGACTTCAAATATTACAAAGGAGCACATCAAAAGGACACTTAATGCATACAGATGCACGGGCAAACCCAGTTCCCTTTGGAAATAACCATAGCCCTTGGCACACAACACAAACACACTCACTCCCCCTGAGGCAAGTGCTCTGTAACATTATTTCTAATGCTTCTAAGTCTCTCTGAAGTCTGAGTGAACATGTTTTTTCCTCCCTTCGCTTCTCTCTTCTCATCCTCTCATCTGTTTTGTTTCTATCCCTTTCCAGTTATTCATCCATGAAGCCACAGCCAGACTGATGGCAGGGGCGAGTCCCACACGCACACATCAGCTGCTGGATCGCTCACTACGACGCAGAGCAACGCCAGGAGCCAAGACAGGTGTGCAACATTCACATGTGTCCTCCAGGCATATTTATCTATTCACTCACTTGAATATTTATGGTATTAAGATGGTATCAGTCTGGGATATATACTTGAACCTTAAAGTAAGGAAAACATAGGTTATGTTTGAGTAACACGATTGAGATGTTTCACTCATAGTAAGACAGCAAAGCAAAGAATACAACAGAGGTATAACAATGTACAATAACAATAATTAATATCTGTTAACAATGGTCAAAGAATAAGCTAGATGAATTGCTGACATGGGACAAACTATGGTTGCTAAAACCATAAATAAATACTGGCTCAAATGTAAGTGTAAAGTACACTGTGTGGAAGTTGGCAGTTGTGTTATAGTCAGTTGTTCAGGCTGTTTTATTTGCTAAATAACAGGCTGACCCAATGCAATAACAGTTTTTTGTGATATGCAGAAGAGTGTGAGACACGGCCTGGCCAACGGGAGCAGGCGGAGGCAGTCCTGTTGGCATGCCGATACCTCCCCCCTTCGTTCCTGTCAGCCCCAGGCCAGAGGGTCGGAATGCTGGCGGACGCAGCCCGCACCCTGGAGAAGCTGGGAGACAAGAGGACGCTCCATGACTGCCAGCAAATGATCATCAAACTGGGGAGTGGCACCACTGTCACAAACAGCTAAGAAGGACCAGAGTGTTCAGACACATCCAAACACCAACGCAGGACAAAGACAAAACTTTCTGGATTCACAATGTGCAGCTATAAATCACTTGTATCAAACTGGAAAGATTACATCAACAGTTTGTTTCTCTGATTTTTGGTCTGCAGCCTGACCTAAGGCACTTACCCACATTTGTCCATTGTTCTGCTGACTTTTTTATGAAGAGACACAATCACAATCTCCTCTACAGTACAACAGCTCCTCTGATCTTATTGGTTGTATTATTGTGAAAGAACTGTCCAAAGTGTATTACATACAAACATATTGGGTCAGAAACAGTTTAGTTTAGTCATTGGAATCATTTGCATCCTGCTCATTCAAGCCCAAAGTCTCTATCTGCACTAGCCTCCAGGGGCTCCTTTCAAAGACTTGTAATAATGAGTCTTCTGTTTTTGTGGCGTGATGTGTACATATTTTAAAAATGTATTTATATCTTTGATTCAATTTGCAGTATTGTGACATAAGCAAGGTGATAAAAACTTATCCCATAAGCGCATATTATAATTATGTAGCATTTGGCAAGGCTCCTTTTAATGTCATTGTTATGTTATAATGCCCACGAGCATTCACAGCATCAGGCTATCAAGGTGACCTTTGTGCAGCTTTGGCCAATTCTCTTGACCTTTTGCGGTGCTGCTCATTGATGCTGTGAGATGTTGGCAGCCTCTTCATCAAAGTGTGTGGCATTGGTGGTTTCAAGTACCCTAAACTTTTTCTCGAAATTGAGCGTGCAGTGAAATTTCATTTCAGATTTATGTTTGTAGCTCTTACACTAAGAGTAGTGCTTTCTCTTACATTTGTTTAGTTCAACACTCTTAGTAAACACCTGTTTTTAAAGGTCTTTATAAACAAGTCCTGAACCGGGATGTTCAGTATGAGCCTGGTAAAGAGACTGATACTGTAAATGAAATGTGAGAGACATGGCAAACGCTTGTTGTATAATTGGCATCTTTCTTCACATACTTGCTTACTATGTAAATATTAAAATATTTTGTAACAAAATGTGTTTTGTGTACAACTATGCTCTTTCTGTTTCATTTGTTACAACACAACTTGCAACCTTCGTTAATAGTGCCTTAAACTATAGTTGAAACTTGACCTCTGAACAAAATAAGAAAGGACAAAGAGAAATTGATCATAGCAGCATTGAAAGGTGCTGGTATATTTAACATTGGCGTTACAAAAACATTTCAAACAAATGTGATGCTGTTTCAGTCCAGAGACAGAAAATAAAACCGCATGCGTCAACCCAAAACAAGTGACATTCCCCAAAAGTATAACATGTTCATTAATGGATTCTTTTAATAACATTTTATAAGCAATAACATATTCCATTTTATAGAAAATAAACATCTCTAGGAAATACTATACACAATTATATTAGTACATCACATCTTACATTTAAACAGCATCAAATACTTCTGTACACCATTAAATGAGCCTCTTATAAGAGAAAGTTTCTTTTACGCTTTTATACTCTCATTTTGATATGAACAGTAGTAGTGACCATACTTAGCATGGCAGAGTAACAAGCCTACATTTGAAATACAGACAGGTGCTTTATGAATCTGAATGAATCTTAATGTTCGTACATCAATTTTCACATGTGTGAAAATAACTTATACTGTATTTTTCATAGTAATACTTTTACTTTTGTACTTTACATACTGTAGCATGATGAGAGGACAGGCCTCAGAGCAAACCTCAGGTCTGCAGCTGTCAACTGGTGAAATGTGAACACAGTAGATGAGAGTAACACATTTATTTTTATATTTTTATAGATTCTTAAAAACACAAAGCATGACACACACCAAAGGCCATGATGCACACAAATACATCTCCAGGATTAGAGCATCATAGTAAAATACTGATCTCATGTGTTTTATATGCAAATACTTATGTTTTTCTGTTGTACAAGGTAAAATAGTAGACCCAGTGCTTGACTGCCGATGCATGGGATGTTAAAGTGGAGATGCAGGTCCTCACTCCCACAGACACAAATGAACAAACACAGGATGAGTGCTGAGGCTGAAGAATGAGGACTCACGACACAAGCACACGTTTGGGCACTGTGAAGGTGGCCAGAGGCTGCTCCCGTCCAATCAGTGTCCGCCAGGTGTCTGAGTCCGATAGTGAGCCATCCCAAGGCAGGACACACACACACTGCTCACTGTGCATTTCAAACAGCCCCTGTGCACCGGGCCTGAGGCTCTCCCACTCGACAGTCACATCTGCCGCCTGCCGCAGAAGGCGCTCACTGGAGGAACACACTGAGGCTGGGGGCAGCTCTTCTCAGAGGAGCCACCCTGCAGGGCTCAGTGCTCCAAGCGTAGCCTCGTGTTGTCCGCCCTGGCTGTGGTGACCAGCGCCTCCACCTTTAAGTTAGCACTGTGGTAGACCCGGGAGGCTGTTTGGACAACGCTGTCCGTGTAGTACTAGTTGGGTTGAGAAGTGTTTTTTCTGATGACGGTATTACAGGTCCTGAAATAGAAGAGCATAAAACCCACATAGCTTACTTGTTTGCACTATTAACAAATGCACTAGCTCTGCACTGCAGAGACATCACCTGATGGGTGAACCTGGCTATGTGACACCTCATCATAATGAATAGTTGGTGCTACTAGTGAGCACTGTACCTCAATGTATTGTCCAGGCAACAGTGAGTTTGTGGACTCATGGTGAATTAACATGAGATGTGCAGTTTGCAGCACACACAAATGATGCATCTACACACTGGACCAGCCCAATCTGACAGACACCATAACTAATTGCAGTGGTGTGGTGAGGTGTTATCCCTAACCCTCTGCAGCCCTTCCCTCCATTTTGTGCCTCTGTTTGTATCTGTGAACTGCTCTGCTCCTGCATCTTTCACCTGCATGCACGTTTGTTTCAGTTGCTGTAACCTTGTACGAGCTCAGTCTACCACTCTGAAGTAACAGTCCTCATTGGTCTTTTGTCCCACGCTCTTTTCCTGTTCATTCTTCTCTGCATCTCAAATACGTGTAATCTGTTTATGAACCTGTGTGGACCGGAGTGTGACCCAGCTAATGGAGGATTTGATGGATTTAAACTCGTCAGCAACTGTGTGTGGTTTAAATGGGTTGAGATTGTGGTGATAAACCCCAAATAAACCCTCAGCTGATGACAGCTCTGCTTGTGTCTGCCTGATGCTCACATGTGAGACAGTGAGATAAAAGAAGAGAAGAAGAAGGAATAAGAGAATAGAACAGCGGCTTATAGGAAAGACGGCAAACAGGTTAAATGGAGCAAATGTGGCAGCAGAGGAGCAAAACAAAAGAATGAAAAAAAAAAAAAAGTAAAAAATAACAGAGAGAGGGACAAGCAGCAGGCAGGTGGGTGTTTTCATCAAGAAGCAGTGTCACGTTGAGCAAAAGAAAAACTAAAAGAGCAAGGTGACAGACGCAGATCACTGCCCCTGTGCATGGCCGCTCCCTGCTAAATGTCAGCTTCTCCCATATTTACCACCCACCACATTTGATTTTCTTCATGTTGTAACTTCAAAAGCCCACTAGATGGCATCTATTTGTCACAAAGGTTGTATATATGGGTGTTTAAATCACCCATTGTAATTATGGTGGTCTTACAGTCAACACGTGGGTAGCAATATAAGGCTGAGTCCTTCTTGCTGGTGTTGGTTGATACAGCTTAGTCCTGCCAAGGTCACTGAGTACATATCGATCTGAAACTGAAGCCCCTGCAGTCGCAGTCTTGGAGGGGTTTGTCACAAGGATGGATGATAGGGCACATGATACGGCCACAGCAAACCCCCAATGTTCTTTTCAAATTTTTCATCTGTTTTACAAGCGCTGACAGAGGTGTTTTGCGTCTGCTCTGTATCATCTGTCCATCTATGATCCTACGACTCCTTACCCCAGAGGGAAGCTTATAGACATGGCACGTTTCCTTGGTTAGTCTCAATTTAATACATAGCACAAAAAAGCTAAAAAGCTAAAAACAAATTGCAAAACACAGTAAGACTAGAAAAACTAGAAAAATATGGCCTATTGACTAGGGCCAAGATACGATACACATCTTGATACAGTTAGCTTTCAATTCAACATGATATAGTTCATATCGATTCAGTATGATTTAGTAAAAAATAATGGCTAAATCATGGTTTTGATACTAAAAGCCTTTGTTAAACCACTTCTCGAGCAAAGTGAACACTCATTTTACTCATGAAAACAGTAAAAATGTCAAATGTGTTGCATAAACAAGTTTCCTTCCACTAAACAAGCAACAAAACTGTAGCACTGTGACAAAATTAATTAGTAAAATGTACCAAAAAAAAAATACTCTTGTAGATATATCAATACAGCAGCCCACAATACTGATACTGTATCATCACATTAAACCATACAATATATCAATATTTTTGCACACCCCTACTATTGACCAGAGGTGGGCGATATTGACAAAAATGAATACTCCAATATATTTTGGGGTATTAATTAATTTAATTAATTAATTAATTTGGGGTATCTTGATAACAATATTTAGACAATATTTTAACAATGCATCAGGAATGTGCTAAAACGTAAATGTCTTGGTTCAGGTTTAAGTTTAGACCAAAACAGGGGAAATATCTCTTTATACCCTTGTTTGGAAGATATAACATTCATTACAGAGAAATATTTTATAGGTCCTTTCATTTTTCACTCTTTGATAAAAATGTGTATCATCTTACCTCATGTTTCGGACATTTGATGGAGAAGTCATCCTCGTGGAATGTGCAGCCTGAAGATAAAAAGCACACACACAAATACATAAGTGCTGGTAACAGACGAAACACAAAACGGATGGTATGGTCACACAGTCATTCTGCACACACCCAGATAAATGACAAAAGGGTTAAAATGAAAAATGAGCAGAAGCAGGGCACAAAGGAAGTGGCAGTGTCAAGCGAGCCAAAGGGAGCAGAGTGGATGAGTTGTGAGGCAGAAAGAGCCACCAGTGCACTCCGCAGGATTAAAATGGTTTTGGTGCTAGCTCGGCAGACGTGGCGGGCTTTCTAATCCACAGCTCCTTGGCATGAGGTAATAGAAGAGCAACCCATACAAACAGCGCACCAAGATTGACCCAAAATACTCCATACTGTCAATTTGTGGTATAGTACGGAAGGAAACACTTTGAACACTTGGAAGAAGAGAGGACAATAGAAGCAAGATGGATAGATGGAGGGGTTATGAGATGGGGACTAGTAATGCACATTCAGTACACACTCAGTCCTGTCCATTTGCCCTGTTCTATTCTTGGATATACGAGTAATATCGGATTATAAAAATAAAAAACAACCTTTTTTAAGATTGGATTCATCATCAACATGATGCGGTTTTCGCATTTTGCCCAAACCAGTGACACTTCCTAATTGCAAGCCTATTCCCTTTCTGTCTTGCTTCTGTCATTATTTTTTTCCTTTTTACCTGCCCTATTTGTTCCTGCACCCAGCTGCCCACACAACCTCCCTTCAATTTCCCAGTCCCAATTTCCCATCTCATTTCTCCTGCCTCTCCTTGGCTTTCCTTTCCTTTTTTTATCAGTGGTTGCTCCCATTCTATATTGCCAGGGTGTCTTACCTATCTCTTTGGCACAGACATAGTGGTATTTGTTAGAACAGCCTCTCCAGCAGCAGCTGAGGGACGCACCCACATTCTGGCACTTGTAGCAACTCTGGGGTTAGTGAAAGATTCAGACATATGGACCCACACCAACGAGGAGACAGACAACAATTGTGCAGAGGAAAAAAAACGAGAAAACATACATTCAGAAGGGGCTCTCACTTCTATAAACTATAATCATACATAAGTCTTAACTATAGGGATTTGTCTTACCGTTTGATCGGAGGTCTTGGCTGCTTCTTTGAGTCCGTACAGTCTCCCTGCTACCATAACGACGCCCCGGGTCCAGATGGCACAGTTTTCATGGGCCCAATGTTCCTTGGTCTCTGCCTCCTGCTGAAGTCTCTGGAGCAAGCTCTCTCTCTCCTCCGTCTCACTGGTCCCTTTGGCCTTGAGTTGCTGGATTCTCCTGAACCTCTCTCTTAGCGTGACTCTCCGCAGACCTCCTCTCCGGGGGATGCAGTCAGAACCCTCTGGTCGCCGATAGCGACGGTGCCGCTGCTGTCTACTGCTCTCTTGAGCTGAGGAGTCCATAGTGCTCTCTGCTTTTGTGTCACTCTCTTCTTCATCTTTTGAGCTGCTCACCGGTTCTGTATTTATGCTACTTTGACTACAACTGGCCTCATCTGAGATTTTCCTGATTAAATCGGTGGGACTTGATGTCAACATTTTTCGTGGAACATCATCTTCAGCATAAAAAGGGCCACATAAGTCCCCTAGGTCTCTATAGTTCGCTGGTTTTCCACAAAGGCTACAGTTTAGACATCTGTCCATCAGTGCTTTATTTACTAAAGGTCCCTGTAACATGGCTGCAGTGTGCGGCACCCCCTTGGCCACCGTAAAAGGATTCTTCATTCTAAGTATGCCCTTTTTTCTTCTTCTCTGAAATACAACAGCATCCTCGGGCTTGTTCACAATAGCACACCAAGATGAAAAGTCTCGGGAGTTGCTAAGTCGCACATATGGACAGAAAGACAGTTTGGAGTTTTGTGAGACTGGTCTGCGTCTGAATTTTTTCACACAAATGGTTTCACTCTGTTTCTCTGATACTGTCACTACAGGACCCACAATACATGGATCCTCCTCTTTTTCCTTACTGTCTCTTTCCCTCTGCTCCTTCTCCTCTTTCTCTCTCTCCTCTTTCTCTGCCTGCTCACAGCCTGCTGCCCTGACCACAGCCTCAATAACCTCCATGGCGTCTTTCATCCCTGGCTTTGGCCCTGGTTTTCTGTGGAGCTTTGCTGGCTTCTCTGGCGTGTGCTCTGTTGATGTTTTCCCTCTCTTTCTGCTGCCTGGACTCACTGATGGTTTTCTGCCTCTCTTGGGTTTCTCTGTGGGCTCTGAACTGCTCACCTGCACAGGTTCAGTCTCTGTGCTTATAGGCACATGTACTGTAGAGTCTGTGGCCTGCTCTTCAATCTTTTCTGCCTTCTCTGTTTCAACCTTGTCCTCAGCATTAGCCTCACTTACTGCCTCGGCCACTTCCTTTCTTTTCTTCCTCCTTTGTTTCAGGTGCATCTCATGGTTGTTTTTAATAGCCCTCTGCTTTGCTAGTCTTGGCGTTGTGACTATAAGGCTTTCTGTTTCCAAAGCTGCTTCTGTGCTCTCCACTATAGCCCACCTTTTCTTCTTTGCTTTGACAGATTTACTAGGGACACATGCTGTTTCTTGTGTCCCCTCTGCCCTAACTTCTACAGTAGCTGAATTCTGTTGTGTGCTTGACTCTTCTGTCTGTGCAATGTCACTTCTATCACTCTCACTATTTTTCTCCTCAGTTACCCCCTGATCTGTCTGAGTTTTACTGTCCTCCTCTACTTTGACTGGCATTTCTTGCTCTTTAAGTTCATCTTCTTTGATATCTGTGTTTTTCACTTCTTCCATAATGTCTGCAGCATTTAGGGTCACTTCACTGCCCTTAATTGAATTCTGAGAGAGTGCCTTAGATGCCATCTCATCTGTTAAACTGTCTGGCTGAAGGGGTTGCTGTTTCTTTGAACCAGGAGATGTCATTTTTTGAACCAAGGCCTCATATTTTTGCCCCCTGCCTTTTCGAGGGGGCAGTACTTTTGTTTTGGTAGGGCAGTGTGCAGGCACATCACTGTTATCGGTTTCGTTAGTTGGAGAGATACTTGGAGAACATTTATTTTGTGAGGCTTGTCTTCTTTTTGATGGCCTGGTGGTTACTTCTTCTGCTGTAGAAACGTCCTCCTCCGCCTGTGCAGGTTGTGGTGGTCCACGTCGTTTGGGCTTAGGACCCCGTTTTTTCTTAACAGGGGACACAGAGGAAGGCGGGCTGTTGGATTTTCTCTTTAGTGATGTGGTATTATCAGCATTGATGTCTGGAGGTGGATCCATGGGTTTTGGTGGTTCAGATAATTCAGTTGGCGCATCTGTGGTTTTGATATCAGGGAGAGAAGTCAATTTTGGTTCTTCTGTTAAAGTCACTTCCACTTTCACATCACTCACTCTCGGTTCTGTGGTCTTGACTTCAACAGTTTCCTCGTTTATTTTTTCTTTTGTTGCTTTTTCCTGGGAGGGCTTTCTGGATCTCAAGACCATATTTTTTGTTGCTCTTTGTGGCGCTTTTACTTCTGTTTTCTCTTCAACATGCACTGGTTTCACAGGTGGATTTTCTGCTGATGCTGCCTCCAGAAGTGCCCTCTTTCTCCTGCTCTGCATCCCCTCTGAAGGCTGAACCACTTCCTGTGTGTTCTTGGCTTTTGACCCTGAGCCTTTAGGCCGACCCACTGTGGTCTTAGCAGGGGGGCTGTTGGTGGCCTTTGCAGGAGGGGCGTCTGAGGAAGGGAGAGCCTCTTCAGGCGTAGGCTCTGGGTTAGGGGCATGTTTAGACCCTGGTTTGGGACCAGGCTTCGCACGTGGCTTGGGTCCTGGTTTTTGTTTAACTGTGATCTCACTTTTCGGTGGTATCTCTGGTTCAACTGGTGCCGATTTTGGGGTAGATTTTGGGGCAGGCTTAGTGGCTGGTTGGACTCGTGGTTTTGGACCAGGTTTTGGTCCTGGTTTTGGCTTTGGGCCTGGTTTGGGGCCTGGTTTTCTTTTCAGAGGAGGTTTATCTTTGGGGGACAACTCTGGAGCATTGAATGAGCGCGTGCACATTCTTGAGGAAAATACATCAGCTATTATTTTAACTGCAGGACTGACATTAGACTCTGTATGATGAATGAGTTCTGTTTGATCTGAAATCAGTCCTGTTTTACTCGTGGGGATGCAGGGCTTTTGAGAAGACGGCACTGACTCTCCTCTTTTCTCTCCTTCTGTGTCCAAACTGAGCTGTCGCCTCAGACCTGACCCTGAATGCATTCTTCTCCTGCCTCGTGCATGCTTTCGTCCATAGGTCCTGGGCTGAGACGTAGGAGCAAGAGGCTCTGGTTTGGTCAAGGGGGTCACAGCACTGGCACAGCTGATGCCCGGCTCTATGTCCTCGTCCCCTTTCTTAGGTGAGGGTGGGGTGTCTGCCCATGAAGGGGCTGAGGGGAGTATGGACTTCCCTGGCAGCTGCGGGGAGTCTGGCTCCAGCACTTTAGCGTCGCTATGATCCATGTGATCTCGGGCATGAGCTGGGGCAGGGGCAGCTTTGTCATTGAGCGATGAAAAGACTGGCATAGCCGACTCAGGCTGAGGAGCTGTGTCACCAATAGCTGTTTCTCTAGAGGAAACATCGGCAGCTGTGTTCAAATGGACCGGAGCAAACTCTTCTGGATGCTCTGGGCTCCCCATCCCCTCCTCCTCTTCCACATCCTTGCTAACCTCAGCAGACAGTGGAGGGGATAGTGTCTGTGGCTCTTCTTTCTGAATGCCCCCCTCCTCTTCACCTCCCTCCTCTGGTTGTTCTGCCTCTGCTTCTCTGCTGTCCTCCTTCTGTGTAATGTCTTCCTCCTCCATTCTGGGGGGTGGAGAGGTGTTTTCAGAGCTGTCCTCTTTCTCTGTCGAATACTGATCCTGTTCAAGGTCCCCTCTTGATACATAAGGTGATGTTTTTACAGAGCTTTCAGATGGAGTGCGTGAGTCAGATTTGAATGTTTCTGATTTCACCTCTTGCTCTTTGTCATTGGAGAAGGAGAGTTCAGAAGGTAACCGCTCCAGTGAGTCCTCTCTTGTAATTTCATATTTCCTCTGGTCCTCCTGGTATTCAGGGCTGTCGTAGCAGTAGCTTTTTTCTCTCTCTTCTTCCTTACTATAGAGTTGTGAATCATTTCCTTCCTCTGTCCAGTGTTCTAGTCTCTCAGCAGATTGGACCATGTCTTCATCGACATCTGTCATTTTTTCTGTAATCTCACTTTTGTCTGTGCATTTGTCTGGCCAAGTGTTTTCTTCAAAGTTTTCTTTTAGGGGCTCATCAATGGTTTCAATATCCGGAGGAGAATCTCTGTCTTGTTTGAGCGGACTTGATACTGTAATACTTGTGGGTGATCTCTCGTCGCTTATGCTTTTAGCTGGAGTACTCATGCCATCACCACCTTGAGCTGGCGTACAGATAGCTGGGTCAGGAGTCAGGTTATGTACGCCTGAGTCCCCAGACCTAATGGACATGTCATCAGGAGAAGTTATTGAGCATGAAGAGGTTGTATCCAGGCACAGGCTAGTGTTGTTTTGGGCCTGTGCTGGACTCCGGCCTTGGCTGCAGTAGTAGTAGCCTCTTTCTATCTGCTCGTCACTGCTGCTGGAATAGCCCGCTTCATGCAGCTCCATTGGAAGTGTGTGGTGCTGTGTTGCAGAGTAGGGGTCCTGCATAGAACCTCCCACTCCACTTCCATCTGCATACAGAGGACTCTTATACTCTTCACTTTTCTTAGAGGGTGTACCACTGCCAACGCTGCTGTTACTTCCTCCACTGTTTCGTTTTCCACTTTTCTTGTTTCCCACTAGTGCTTCAGAAAGCAACAACTGCTGGACATTATTGGAAATGTTCTCCACTTGAGAGGTGAGGGCATTTAGACTCCACAAGCTTGGATTGGACAGCAGCTTTTCAGAAAAGCGCTCTTTCATGGTGGGAAGCTGGGGTGTGCTAGTGTAGCTGTGGGGAGCTGCGTGGGCCACACTTGGGGAGGGGTGGGAGCGCGGGGGCATTAGCATGGCACTGGAGCTCCCCTGCTCTTGCATGGCAGAGGTAGAAGATGAAGAGGACGAGGGCGTCATAGATGGCTGGCCGTACTGGAAGGACTCAGGATTGGTCATAAGTGGTGAGGGGGTGGAGCTATATGAGGGTGAACGGCCAACAGAGCGTGCAGGGGAATGGCTGGATGCGGGGCTGCAGGTTTGATAGTACTGCTCTGGGGAGCGGACCGGTATATCTGTAAGACAATAATTCTGCTGTGTTTGATTGTAGTGTTGATATTTGGGATGTGGCTCCTGTGGGTTGCTCAGGTTCTGTAAAGGAGCGTGTGGCTCGTAGCCTCTGGGGGTAGGCTGTTGGTAGCCATAACTGCTCTGACTCTGCCTGTATTGGCCTTGCTTCAAGCTACTGTGGCTCCCCATTTGTCTGCTGTACGGTGTGTTAGGGGGCATGTTGTACCCTTTGTAGCAATGAGGCATAGGGCTGCACTTGTCCATGTATGGTGATGGGGACTGCTGGGGGTAGTGCAGGTGACTCTGAGGGTACATGAGGGGTGAGGGAGGAGGGTTGGGGACATGGGGCTGGTGGTGTGGGCTGGTGTAGGCTGGGGTCGTAGGTTGATGGCACTGAGTTTGGCCTAACATGTTCTGGTCCATGTATTGTGAGGCGCCAGGGGTGGGGGTGCTCGCCTCCATGCGGGCCACTATGTCCTGTTCGTACTGTGATAACTGTGAAGGATCGTCCCACTTCTGCTGTATGTGCCCTTCACTCAGGTACTGGGCTGAGTAGCTCCCAGGGCCCATGTGGCTGTAGCCTGCCGGACCCTGCAGATGATTTCCAGAGGTCGGAGTGGGTGCCTTACTTCCTCCTCTGTAATTTTTTTTTGCAGAGACCCCGTTTCCATTGCCATTGCCTCCACTGTTTCCAGGGAAACTGGCAAAAGCTTGCTGGCTGTAACAGTCCTTGGTCCCACCTCCAGCTGGGGTCATGCTGGAGGGACTAGTCAGTGGATGGGTGTCATATCCAGGTCTGCTGTGCCCTGGGTGTGGTCCTGGGCCAGTGTGTGGGTGCTGCGGGTGCTGACGGTACGTGTCGAGGCGGGATAATTCATGGGGCTCCTGCTGGTAGCAGGGCTGGTTGCTGTGGTAACCAGTGCTGCGCTCTCTGAAGGACTGCATCTCGCTGTCTGCGTCCTGAGCAGGAGGGGGAGGTGGGAGAGGGGGAAGGGGGTTAGGGATCTGGGAGGACAGATAAAGGGCAAGAAAAGAGAAAAAAGAAGAGTGATGGTTAGAACATTCCAGCAGTAAACATCTTGATTTGAAACTTGAATAATTAATACCATGTTAGACTTAAAACAGGCAAACTCATCCTCAGTTTGTGTGAGGACAGCAAGATATTATCATAATCCTCTAATTTCATCTGGTGCAATTTGACAAAATAATTCAATTAACCATTTGATTATTGCCATCAAGGCCATGACAGGCTTGCATTGTTATTTGCTGTGTATTGTAAATATTGCTGTTGCAGCATATTGCCATAGTGCCTGCTCTTCTCTACAGTATTATGCATCTGTGGCCTACCTGTGCATGTGTGTGTTCAAGATAGAAGAGATGGGGAACACTGGCTCTAAAAAAGGAGTACAGTCTGTGTGTTTGTGTCAGCTACAGCACAGAGTCTGAGGCTTCATTCAGCCGCCCCAGGGACAGAGCTGCACCCCACCAGATGTGCACCGGCATTATTCATCTCCTAAGACATTGCTGTGTGGAAGTGGAATTACATTGTTTACGCATGTATGTGAGCACTTTTTGGACATGTCTCTAGCACACATACATCTCTAGATTTCTCCTGAGAAACCCCAGAGTCCTGTCTCCTCTTTCTACCCAGTGTGTGCATGCAAGGACACTAGTTAACATGTTCACATTGATGCAAATAAGATGTTTTTCATAGTGAACTATTTCTGCAAAGCTGTGTTTTAATGCTTTATAAGATCTCCTCTCTGTCCTCATTTCTCTAATTTACACCTTGATGCAATTCCTAAGGTAACCTTCTTCTGTGACTGAAACTGTACTTTGGCCTTATGCTCCTTTAAAAATGTCAGCGATCTACTTCTAATTAGTATTTGGCCCATCGGATTGACAAGCACATTGAAATAGCTATGGTCCAGAACTTTGAGGTATTAGTATATGATAGAATTTCAACATTTTACATTGGATTAAATTTTATGGCATCTGCATTACTATTTATTCTTCTTCTCATTTGCGTATGGTGCATGCAGTAAGTCCTCCTGTCACATACTCGGTGTAAGGGTCAGAGAGGACACTAAGCTATGCTGAGATCGCACAATAGTCTTCCTCTGTCTGTTTATAAGATATACGCATTGATTTTGGAAGAATAACCTACACGTATTGCTTGCAATTTGCCTTTTCCTTTCCCACCTAATTCATACTTTCTCGCTCAATGGTCATGTGAGAACAGGATGGAAAGAAGGAAAAAAGATATATATGTTTAAAGAGGAGGTGGGGCCAAAAGACAAGAGGATGGATGATTTACTGAGTGGACTTTACAACCATAGCTCTTGGGAAATAGATACTGCGGTCGCATAAGTCCGACATACAAATGGGAAACACTGTGCTGTTAACAAATACCTGGATAGTTCAGGATCCTGGTGTTTTTCTATTTTACATTTTGATTGATAACAGCACAGTTCAGCATTACTCTTCATTAATTTGTAAATCATAAAGTGTCATGGCAGCAATGATACTGAAGGACAATTGTGTCAACCAAACAGTGCAATTTTTTTAAATTTTTTGCAGTATAAGTAAAAGACAAATATTACACCAAAGGTACTGTGCAGGAGTGGACTGAAATGGTGGTGTACAGGAGTGAGAGAATGGAGCTGAATCTGATTGTTCCGCTGCATGCTTCTTAATTCGCCGAGATGTGACTGGTTACATTGGCCCTTCATTCGTTTTTCATCCGCTCTCCCTCCCTTTCATCGCATCATCTTCAGAGCGAGCTTGAGATGGGATTTATCTGCCCTCTCGACACCCAAACACACACACACACGCACACACACACACACACACACACACACATAAAAGGAGTGCTCTGATTCCCCATCACTATAGCATTTTTGCGTCAAATCTCTCCCCGAGCCCTGTCTTCTCTGTGACACAAATAAACACACATGCAGACGTGATTGGAGCGTCTCCCCGTGTTTACCTCCCCAGTCGTCCTGGTTAATTATGCATGCAAAGGAACGGCCCCATCGCGCATACGCAAAACCCAGTCACACTCCACCATCTCCAGAGGAAGAAAACACCATCAACTCGACCTAAAAACATATTTTAAAATAACACGCCACCATCTCCACGTCAACATTTTCTGAAAGGCCATATATAAAATGCCCTGTGTTTGACAACACTTGAATATGCCATACACTTTTCATGCTGGAACAGAATGATGTTTTCATCATCTGATCGGACTGATCATTTTAATCTTTGAGGATCGTGGAATTGTTGAATTGCAATATATATTGTTTTGGTGATACAGCTATGTACTTGCTAATGATGTAATGTATTGAGCTGCCCTTCTTCCTAAACAGTAAGCCCCCAGTACTGAACACACCCAGTGCTAACGTGCCTCAGCTTCATAGTGGCACTAATTATACACACTACTATCCCTGGCTCTTGTGCTTTTTTCAGCGGCCTCCACAAGACAGTGGACAGACGGCCATGTCTGCTCCTCCACAACAGTCTGTGTGGGTGGGTTTTTATCCGGGAGAGAGACAGACGAGATGGAGGAAGCCAATATCGGCCTTGACATTTGTCACTGTCCCGTTGTCATGACACACAGCTGGAGGTCATGCAGGGTCAGCGGTGACCAGTCACATAGATTATCAGAGAAGACGTAGTGTGTAGAGGCCCAGCACTCGCGCTTCCAGACAGAAGGGAGCTGCATAAGGACAGACAGTAAATAACCTCCAAAGACCTTCAATATTCACAAAGAGGTACAGTATGTCTCGACCAAAAGAGTGATCTCTACAGTTGGATGTGTAATGGCACAAATACAGCTAGTATTATACATATTTATGTGTTGGTTTGTTATTCTGTGCATGTCTCTGTGTTTGCCACGTAACTAGCTGGCCATTGTCGAGGGCAAGGAATAACTTAACTGAACTAGACTTTACTCTTCAATCAACTTTTCATTAAACATTATCATTCAATCAATCTACGCCCTGTTTTTCCAAAGAAAATTAAACAAATAAAATGACTTAAAATTAATGAAGCATAAGACGTGATGTTAAAAGAGGTTTTGTGCAAGTAAATTCAATTCAATTTGTGACCTCAAGGCTAAAACAAAAAGCATATGAAAATCCAGTTTAAACCAGCATTTTCTTTCCATGTGTGAGAGAGGCATCAGTGCTGTCTCTGGGGCGGCAGATGACTCATCGGCATTTACCGTCTTGGCCGTCTATTTCATCACTAATGGAGATGACACTCTAGACTGGCCTCTAAGTACCAACACAGCAACACTGAAACGAATGCAGGTCAGTAAGAGGGTGTGGGGAGACTATATGTGGTTGGGGATTTTGAAACTGTAGTTTAAACTGAAAGAAGGATACAGAAGATACATGCAATGACCATATAATTCAGGTCTTGATTAGTTGGAGGGTATGATATTTTAGACTTAAAATCAGTTAGCTTATCATCAAATTATGCCAGTGCTTTGTTGACACACTTTCTATCTATAATGAGCAGCGTGTTATTATTTTATGCACCAAGGAATCTGTATATTCTTCAAAAATCTTTCTAGCCCATTCAAAATGCTGTTTCTTTATCTATTCTTTTCTGTCAGCACACCTAAACTGACAGCTGTTACGCACTGCCCTTTGAAGGACTAGACGTTGTTTTGTTGACATGGTTGGTAGGAAAGGAGGAAGAGACAAAAATGACAAAAATTACAACTTTACAGAAATTAATAAAGAGATCTCACCTCTACAGCCACCTTAAATGACTGTAGATGATTTATGAAAGAAATATGAATCTGCTACATTCAAAATAACATTACAAGATTGCAGTAGTATTTTTGTTTTCTGAATAATGTATTATGGATGATCTAACTATTTTGACAGCGATGAGAGTGATCCAAGTTTAGTATTGATAACCTCAGCTTTGCCACACACAGTTTTCTCCTTATCTCTCTCTCTTTTAAGTACAAAGGGGAGAAGAGGGTCCTGTAAAGTGGTCCGCAGAACTACTTGGTATTCTCTCAGAATCCACCAAAGAACCAGCATGGCAGTCTGTGGCGCACACAAAAAGAAAGCGACGCAGGAGGAAGAAGGGGAATAGTAGAAGACTTAACTGCTTCAATCACAAGAGAGTATCCCTGGTATGCTCTCATTTACACTGCAGGGTGAAATCCAATTCTACCAAACCTATTTCAAAACCAGATGCAAGTGAGGAAGGCTAAAAAACAAAGCAGCCGTCTTTGACAAAGGAATGGAAAAAAACACATGTGAAATGGCTCATTGTATGCGCTGACCCACTTTGGTTTAGACTATTTCCTGGTAATAAGGTGAAGCGCTGGAGTGAAGCACAGGGAGAGGTGTCTGGGCAGGTTTTACAGAGACATCCCTGCTGGTGGTCTGTGGCGTGTCCTCTTACTCATTTACACATACGCACATGTGCAAGATTGGCTCACGCGTGTAGCAGCCTAGCGCACACTGATATGCACCTGCTCCCTCTTTGTGCCACTCCACTTGGGCTAATTGATCATGCCGCGTCAGAGCAGTCTTCTTGATGCTCGGGTTTTTTAGTATGCCCTTCTTCTTTGTCCTCTATGTTGGACACATATTGTTGCTCTGTAGCTGCATCTGTGTGGTAGGGGGTTGACCTTGTCCTTGGTAAGACCAGGGTAGGTGGTCTGTGGTCTGGCACACTGAACTTGAAAGACATAAAAATAATAATGGAATTTGGAAGCACAGAATATGCATAGTTTAAGACAGGATGGTAATTACGAGAGCAAAGATATTGTCACTGGATAGGGATTTAAAGGTGCACTACACAACTTTTCTGATGGAGAGTCTGCCACCTGCTGGCTTCCATGGAAATGTTACTACTTACTTATTATCTGGAATTTTCCACAGTGTAACATTAAACTTCTCTATCTTTATCTGCTCTT